ATTCCTTAATTAAGGGGTATTGGAGTCTCTGGGTAGTGTTAATACCGGAGCGCATCTTTGCAAGTTCACGGTTTAGGGCTTTGGGGCTTTTGGGGCTTGGTGGGTTTAGGGCATGGGGTTCAGGGTCGGTTGGTGATTGTATTTGATAATCTTCGCCTAGAGCTTCGGTGTCCGTGGCGTAAACTCCCAAGTTCAACGGCTGGAACATGTATCCTGCAGTGCAATAACGACCCTGTTTTGGACCCCAATAAATCCAATGAGCACAGCCATCTGATGTGCACTTTTGGATGCTTGCGAAAGGAAGCGTCAAAAATCCTGTGAGTGCCCTTGATCAAGACCACCTAGAGCCCGCACTGTGTTCTTGTTGAGGAACTTGAATTTGCATTAATATAGTATGTTTGTATAAAAATAAATATACATACAATAATATAAGATAATGTATACATATTACATATACATATGTATATATATATATATTTATATATATATATATTATACAAATATATATATATATATATACATATGTATTTGTATATATTACCTTCTCCAAGTTGTTGCAGCTTGAACACCTCTCCTCAAGAGCCCAATACCCCTTAATTAAGGATGATACCTTCAATTATAAGGGGCTTAATATTATGATTTAAGGTTACCTTAAATTGTAAGGGGCTTAATATTATGATTTAAGGTTACCTTAAATGATAAGGGCCTTAATATTATGATTTAAGGTTACCTTAAATTATAATGGGCTATGATTTAAGGTTACCTTAAATTGTAAGGGGCTTAATCTTATGATTTTAAGGCATATTCCTTATTATAAGGGGTATTGAGCTCTTTCGGGTGTGGCCGAGGCTCAACTGGGAGACGTCCAGGTTGGGACGGAGATCACCTTCGAAGTAAGGCCGGGCGCCCCCGCCTTACGATATAGAAGCCTCAATAATTAGAATACGGTCTTGGGGGGTTCCTTATTATAATTGTAGTATAATATATACCCAAAACCCTATTCTANNCCCCCCCCCCCCCTTATAAGCATAAAAAGGCGGGCGATGGGAGGAAGGACCGGCTTAAAGCAGGGTGTGAAGAGCTGGAGGGCCTGTTTAGGATCAGCTTCAGGGTTAAGGGGCGTCTTGGGGCCTTTATGGTG